GGGGGAAGAACGAGCATCATTAACTGTTAACTGAACAGGGAACGAACAGATGCTTCCTTCCACAGCAATACGAAAATACAACCAAGCACTACAGTGCATGCTCAAACGCCCTGGCAACACAGCATTTCTATAGCCGACAGGCCTGACTACTAATCGACCAATTCTGTTAGTGCATAACGAACGACCAAGCTTCTAGCTGTAGCACCAGTAGCATTACATACCGCAAGTACGAATGCCAGCTGACGTACTCAACTTTGCGTCTTACATAGCAGGAAAAATACAACAACAATAACAATACAATGAGTTCAATCACAGAAACGAGTAAGAATAGAAAATAAGAAGCAAAACGCTGAAGCAACTACCTTGCCTTTCGGGCGAGATTAGGAAGTCTTCTGCGCTGGCGCGTTTATAGCTATGGTCGGTGGCGACCTTAAAGCCGGGACTCAACCGTGACAGGGAGCTACCGAAGGACGTGTCAAGCATCTGCGAGTCGGTCCGCACGCCGAGGTCTCGCAAAGTCGAAAATGGACTGGGGCTAACGAGCACGTCAAGCTCTTTCGACTCGTCTAATAATGAGCAGACAAATCAAAAGTCACAAAAGCAGCATGCGCATATCAAAACGACAAAACAATAACGCAAATTGAAAATCACATACGTACGATAAATGCACACAACGCCACAACAATGGCGGTAACGGTCTGCGGCACAACGTATGTTCCGGCAGGGTACATGTGCTACACAACTAACGCTCCACCAGTCAAACTACCGCTGTCATGTTTACCTGCTTCGTCCTCAGATTCAGATATAAATGTTTCCTGCATGGTCTCGGGTGCCAGAACCTTATAACGCTCCTCGGTCACTGTTGTCGTTTCCGTTATGATCGTAGTCTCGGTTATGGTACGTAGCGTTTCGACGACGCTGATGTAACCGAGCTTCTGAGCGATAGCCAGTGGTGTTTGTCCGGCCTAAAATACTTCCATTTCTGTAGATTATTATTAGAAGAAATCATTCACATCCAGAAAAAATATTTCACTAATATTAGTCGTATAAATTATTTATTTATGGCTAAATCGTTTACAATGAACTAAATCAAATCGTGAGATGGTTGTTACAAAATTTCAACAACGTAAAAACCAGAAGGAAACATTTTATAGTAATTATGCTGGTCATCGTTGTAACGCCGTTTAGAGTGCAAACGACATTGCAAGTTTAAACAAATGCTGTTCCTGATGTCTCGCACACCTCCATGTTCAGTACTGGATAGGTCCTAACACCGAAATACTCTAACGCTACAGAAACTGACATGTAACTGTTGCGGGATGTGAATCAGATACAGATATATCATCTAACATTAGTATTGGCATGCATTACTAACTCCAGCCCATTCGGCAATTAGTGAGAATGGCTGAGTCAGGGATTCTCATCAGATATTTTGATTGGAAACGCATTTATTCTTGTGAATGGCGTATAATCGTTCAGAGTAGAAATCCTTCTAAAACATTATCGAGGAAGTAGCCCCGCGAGATCTACTTGCCAAATTGATCAATACCATGATTACGGATATTCAGCAAACCTTCGGCGGCATTCGGTCAGTGGTCAGATCTGAAAAACGGATACGGCTTTCCGTGAGAATACAAGGTCGTACTTCAACGGACTAATATCGATAGTGAGGATATCTGCCTTAGAATACGGTCGTCTAGTGAAACAAGTATAACGCATCAGTAAGTTCCCGCGTTAGCGTTAGTCTCGAAAGGGTACGAAAAATCACAAATATGCCATACAGAATGACGGCGGTGCAAAATGGCTGCGAAAGTCCATCTGAGATAATCTGTTAGTCGGAATATCAGATCTATTAGGGGTACAGCTATCAGCAGGTTTCAAGACCTTTGCATTTCGTACCGCGATTCATAGGAATAAAAACGATGAGTAATTATTTACAGTAGAGAGGGAAGAAAGGAAGAATGGAATACCTGTAACCGTTGGAATGAGAGTTTTCTTTAAGCTTTCACAATCAGGCCATTTCCAGTGCCCTTTATTCATCAAGTTAACGGTGAGAATGCGATCTTCATTTCCATATCGTCAGTCAGCAGTACCCCATTTTTGAAGGCTGAGTAGCCACCTCCTATGTGTCAAACATAGTACATAATCTCTTGGCTTCTTTCCAAAGAATGGCACTTATTAAAATCGAAAGAAAGAAAGGCCAGCGGCGATTTGATCGGGGCTCCAAACCGGAATATCTCCGTTCTAAGTCCCAAGCCCTACTGACCGAGCAGCTCCGATGACACACAACAAACAGCCTTGAGCAGGGAAAGACCTAAAGGCATATTCTTAAGCACTGAGTAATTCAAAATCTCACTGAAAGGTTCCGGGCGAAAACTTTTTTATCAAAAACATTCATTTAGAACACTGTTTTGTAGCCAGCTCACATTTGATACTTACAAAGGTGAATTTCCTGAGGGTAACTGCCATACCTCTGATTAGAAGTAAGAGCAAATCATGAATATTATCCACTTCATTATGCTATTGCAACTTCCGCACTGCCGACGTATCGGTTTTACAGATACGCTTCAGTAAAGCCTGTTAGAACGACCTAAGGTTAAAAAACGAGCTTTACAGATAGAATTCAGGTTGTCCATTACTGTTACCATGAGCTGAACCGAGTAAATTTTCAAACTTCAGATCAGTTGCATTATCAATCATCTGGTACAATGGAGATCATCCGTAACTTTGTCATGGGTTCATTAATAACGGAAAACTGACTCTTACAACTTAAAATAATATATTTATTACCAAAATACGTCAACAAAAATACTGCCGATGGCTCACACGCATCAAAGTCGAAATGGTTCTTGGTAATTCTCTACTATTTGATTTCCCTTGTCTTCCGAAACTTAAAATCAACCGAGTATTACTCTTTCTAACATCGTCTTTGAGAGCATGGAAACTCCTTTCGTTTATCTTGAAAAAAGACTTCTATCCTGCGGAAGCACGCATCGATAAAATAGAGTCCCGTTCTTTACATAACAGATAACCCCGATGTTCTGGAGTACAAACCAAATTATAGCTTACAAACATGAAAAGGTGTTTTGTCGTGCAATGCCCAAAGCTCTTTCTGAACTAAACGAAGCCGTCTCTCAAATTATAATGACTCCGCAACCACCTATGAAATACAGCAAAAGCGCTTTATAAGTTGATTTCGTTTCGAAAACAGATTTCGCGCGTTTCATTTGAAATGAACGAAACATGTCAACAATAAAGATACTCCAAGATGCGAACCATTCAGTAATGGACAAAAAATGGTTAATTTCTGTCGCCTCACGACTGACAGCATGAGGTTTATCTATCGAGAACAAACAACGCCAAAAACGTAACAAAAAACGTTTAAATATTTATACTAACATTTAAAACAATTTATATAATTTAAATGTCATTATTTGCACAAACTGGGCATTTAAACAGTGTACCAAAGGAAACGACAAAACACGTACCGAATTAACAACGTTAGGCGAAGCGCCGTACTCCAACAGAAGCTTGACAATAATTGCATGACCCTGCTGGGCAGCCTGATGCAACGGCGTGTACCCCATCTTTGTGGCAGCATTGATGTCAGCGCCGTTTTCCAACAGGAAT